GAGAGAGTAATGGAACTTCGCACCTACGACTTACACATGTAATTCGTTATCCCAGATACAAATCGAGTCGGAAAGTCCTGTACCAAATTTATGTACGATGCGTAGTTTGCTTGTAACGAATTATTGAATAATACCCAACCTGGCGCGTAGATTAGCCGAAGGCGGATCAGTGAACACGCCGATAAAGCTGAACGAACATGATAAAGTTAAAACAATGCGAAAGAAAATGATCGTTTGTATATAACGTGGGTTGGTCCATTAAAAATGGAGAACCACGAAAAAAAAAAGAAAATACTGGGTGCACCCTTTAAATGGTAAAAGGCTTTTAAAAAGCGTTTTCGGTACCGTGTTCATTAAACGTTTGATTCTTGCTTTTAGCGCAATTCCGTTCCGTGGAAGGACTTCAAATTTTTCAACATTCTGTTTAACCTGGTCAATAAACAATTCGACGTCTATCTCTTCCGACATTGCTGCGGACGCGCACTTATAAAAAATCCCTGGAAATTTGCACAGATTTTTACATACTTTATAACTTAAGTCTTTAATAAAAAAACGTAAAATGGAAGAATTATAAATTAGAAAGTGGATAAATACACCTGGCGTTGTGTGTTTACCGTATTGGCGCATTTTTACTTGAATTTATTGTAACGTTACGTTATAATTTTCTATAATTTAACTCAGATGCTGAATGTGATATTACAGAGACAACGCAATTTTACTGCAATATATCGGGGCTTTAAAATAATTAATTATTGAGTATTTCAATTTGCGTAAATATTACATTATAATTTTCTATAATTTAACTCAGATGCTGAATGTGATATTACAGAGACAACGCAATTTTACTGCAATTTATCGTGGCTTTAAAATAACTAATTATTGAGTATGTAAATTTGCATGGGCATTTCTATCAGAGCGAACACGTAGGTACAGAACCTCATAGACTATTGACAACCGTATCACCGTTAAGGTGATATGAAAGGACGATTCTATATATCAAAACGTCAAAATATTTATAAAACTTTTCTCCAAGCAGGGTACATCGAATCATTTAAAACTTGATTACGTGATTACGAAGACTCTGAGGAAGAACGCGATGTTCGTGAAATTTCATTTTTCACTAAAAAATGTGATCTTGGTTCTAGTCTAGACCAAATAAAAAGAAATTTTTTTGTTAAGTGATTTTTCACGAACATCGCGTTTTTCCTTAAGGTCTCAATAATCCCGTGTTAATGTTTGAAATTATTCGAGGCACCCAGTTTGTAGAAAAGTTTCATAAATATTTTGACTCTTAATATGTATATATATGACACTTTCATAACACCTGAAGGGGGTGTGAAGGTGGCACTCAAAAATTCAATCGTTTATGAGACCTTTCTACGAACTGGGTCTACCGAATCCTTTCAAACTTTACAACATGAATTTGGAGGCCATAAAGAAGATCCTGGCCCTCATAAAATTTCAATTTTTATAAAAGATTTCGAAAATATCTATAAACAAATTTTTTAAAAATCGAAATTTTAAAGGGGTTAGGACCTTCCTTATAGCCTCTATATTCATATTGTTAAGTTTGAAACGATTGAGTACACCCAGTTCGAGGAAAAGCTTCATAAACGATTGAACCTTTGAATTTCCCTTTTACACCCCCTTAAGGTGTTATGAAAGTGTTAAAAATGTACTAAAAAGTCAAAATATAAAATCTTTCTCCAAAACTCCAAAACGGGTGCACCTTCAAACTTTAACACGAAATTATTGAGGCCCTAAGAAAGAACGCGACGCTCGTGAAATTATATTTTTCAACAAAATGTTGTTTTTATTAAGCTTAGACTAGAACCAAGATCATATTTTTGTTGAAAAAAAATGAAATTTCACGAGTATCGCGTTCTTTCTTAGTCTTCAGAATCACGTACTGAAGTTTCAAATGATTCGGTGCACCCAATTTGGAGAAAAGTATTATAAATACTTCTCTTATTTACCTTTGTAATATTTATTTACTAATTTTTAACGACACTTTCGCATCACCTTAAGCTAGGGACACATCTGAACGCGAACCCGTCCGAGGCAAAATGAGGCAGAAGAAATGCTTCACATCCGGATGTGTACTTGGCAACAAACAGAATCGTCCGAAGCAATAAACATTTTGACGAATGGCATCCGAACAGCCTTGGATAGGGTGTCGAATGATCTGAGGCAGTTTGCTGCACTTCGATTGATTGTCCACCCTCGTATGTTCGCTTTGCCTCATACGAGTTCATGCTGATATGTACAATGGCGGACATGAATGCCTCCCCTACAGATACGGCATCGCCTGTGCAGGATCGGAGGGCATTGATGTCTCCCAGTGTACCCGGCTTTACGGCCACACATTTGACGCGCGTTAAGTCGGTTGCGACGTCCGTTCCTGATCCGAACGACCCAAAGTCGGAGTCTCACTTGGCACAAGCATGTCACACGAAGAGCGATGCGTCAACGGGTCGTCGATAAAAACCCAATTAGAATTGAACATAAGCTTCGCTTTTGCCGCAGTTTCAACATTGCGAGACTTCGGTCCAAGTTTTGCATGAACTCCGACTTGCCCCTACGCCTTAAAAAGCGGCGTAAGGTTAAGGCGGGGTGAAAGTGGCACCCGAAAGATCAATCGTTAATGAAACTTTTATACAAATTGAATGTACCGAATTCTTTCAAACTTTACACCGTGAACATGGAGGCTATAAGGAAGGTCCTGGCCCTCATAAAATTTCAGTTTTTATAAAAAATCTTGAAAATATCTATAACCAAATTTTTAAAACATGGTAATTTCATAAGTCTCAGGGCCTTCCTTATAGTCTCCATATTCACGTTGTGAAGTTTAAATCGATTCGGTACACCCAGTTCGGAGAAAAGTTTCATAAACGAAACCTCTCTGAGGCCACTTTAACATCACCTTAAGGTTCGTCCTCATATCCCGCTAAAATTGAGTGGTTGGGGCCACGTAACCATTAGAATCCTTTCAAACTTTACACCGTGAACATGGAGGCTATGAGGAAGGTCCTGCCCCTCATAAAATTTCACTTTTTATAAAAAATCATGAAAATATCTATAAACAAATTTTTAAAACATGGAAATTTCATGCGTATCAGGGCCTTCCTTATAGTTTCCATATTCACGTTGTGAAGTTTAAATCGATTCGGTACACCCAGTTCGGAGAAAAGTTTCATAAACGAGACCTCTCTGAGGCCACTTTAACATCACCTTAAGGTTCGTCCTCATATCCCGCTAAAATTGAGTGGTTGGGGCCACGTAACCATTAGAAACTACGCGCGTCACGACGGACGTTAAATTAAAACATCGGCGGCGCATTTGTCCACCACCACGTGTCATGTCGAACGTCACAACACGCATTCAGCTAATCTACGCGAGAATTGTTTATTTTTCAATTAATTATTCCAGATAAACTGTGCACCGCAGAGCAAAAAGAAAAAAAAACACTGCAATACTTCAGGACTGAGTTTTTCAACAAGGACGTGTAAGTCGTGAGAGCAAATTCTATTACCCTCCGTAAAAAAATGTTTCGCCTCGATGGGTCAGAGAACATCTACGCGTTGTGTTTATTCTCATTTCTACGACCTCTGACTTTCCCGCGCCATTTTCCTCTCGGATAAACTGATGCGTGCTTTTCACCGACTCGCCGAGGTCGAGTTGTTCTTATTTCGTTCCCGGGAATTTCTTTTCCGAAAAATGTGTTTAGGGTTTTGTGAACCTACGTGGGTAAGCGTAAGGTATGTGTTAACGTGTATTTCCGTATTGTCGAGGCTGGGCCGTGAGTACCAAAAAGATTGGAGCCATTCCCTTCGGCTTTCGATTGGATTGCTTCGAGCCGTTGCGAAGACTCGAGCTTCGAGATGGGAAAAGGCGCACACGCTATAATTCACGCTTTACAAAAAGTTTCTCTTACGAAAAGCTTTTCGTTATACATATACATATACATACACATATTTCTCTTTTTTTTTTTTAATTCTTTTCGTAAATTTCATTCTCCTCGGCCGTGTCATCGCGAGGGCACTTGAGGAAAACTGGCCCCTCTCGACAAGATCGAAACCATTTACTTGTACCTTTTATGGACGTTGCGTTAAGGTGTTATGAAAGGGTTATTACACAGGGTGTTTCCTAAACATGCGGAAAAAATTCAAGGGGTGATTCCTGAGGTATTTTTATGAAGAAAAGTTCATATGAACATTTGTCGAAAAATGCTTCCTAAGGGAATTACGCCCCTTCAAATGGGGCACCATGGGCCCAAGGAGGTAAATGTGCATTGTAGAAATTTGCAATTTTCTCGAAAACGATTAGCCCTATCGATATAAAATAAGAGTATCCTTTTTACGTAAAAATCCTTCAGGTATCATGTTCTAAAATCAAAATGTGCATCGTAGAAATTTGCATTTTTCTCGAAAACGATTAGCCTTATCGATATAAAATAAGAGTATCTTTTTTACGTAAAAATCCTTCAGGTATCATGTTCTAAAATCAAAATGTAAATAAACAAATGTCCATTAAAAAATGGGGTTATTTTTCCCCTTAACCCCTTCGGTATGGGACGCTTCTGATTAAAATTTTGACATTCCGAGCTCCGATTCTGATTCAGCGTTATAAGTTTATGCGGTATACCAAATTTCATAATTTCAATATGGACGGTTTCGATAATATTGAGGGAAAACCGTCTTCAGGGTGCCCCATTTGAAACGGCGTAGCTACCTTAGAAAGCATTTTTCGACAAATGTTTATATGAACTTTTCTTCATAAAAATACCTCAGGAATCACCCCTTGAATTTTTGCCGCATGTTTAGGAAACACCCTGCATATATACATAATGGAAAAATATTTATAAAACCTCTCCAAACTGAGCGCACCGAATAATTTTACACTTTTACCCATGATTATGGAGGCCCTACGGAAGAACGCGATACTTGTGAAATATAATTATTCACAAAAAAAAGAAAATGTGATTTTGGTTTTAGTCTAGGCTAAATAACAAAAAATTTTTTTTTTTAATGAAATTTCACGAGCGTTGCGTTCTTCCCTAGAGTATTCATAATCACGTACTGAAGTTTTAAATGGTTCGGTGCACCCAGCTTGGAGAAAAGCTTTATAAATATTTTCACATTTTTATATAATAAATTTTCGTTGACGTTTTGGTGTACAAAATGACCCTTTCATAACACCTTAAATCAATAATTCGAAAGTAGAAATTCAGTTGAATGAAATTTAATTCAACGACTCCGATGAATGTATAACCCGCCTCGTACATAGGCCTCAGTATTTCGGAATAAACGATTGTTTATCACGTGTAAGTGGTACCAACAAAATACCATTTTGAACCGGCCTCTTTAAATCCATCCCGAGTAAATCGATTCTTTCGAAAGGGAACAGCGTCGAATGCTCCAAATGCGCCTACGTTCACGTCCGGATACAAAATTGTTGCATAGGAAAATATAAAAAAAAAGAATCAGCTATTTCTGTATTACTTTTTTTTCTCTCTCTCTCTCTCTTGTATCTCTCATATTTGCTCTCAGACTTTTAGGTTCGAACAGTCGCACATTAATCTTGGTTTTCCTAATAATTTTGCACCGTTTGCTCTCTTACTCCGCCTTAAACCTTAGCTACTTAAGTCGCCTATATCTCGTCTCGTTTAATAAAATATAATAATTTCGAATCTCTAGAATAAAATATCCTCTTCTTGTTCCTCAGATCTCTCCGGCATACTTTTTTCCCATTCATTCGTCCTCTCGTCCTCGTGTCGTAAAATATATTCGCGCGGCTAACGCTAAATTTCGCATTTTTCTTTTTCCTTTTTCTTTGTTTTCCTTCCTTCCCTCGGATCTCTTTTCATCTGGCGCGTTTTTAAATCATTTCTCCTCGTTAATTCGCCCACTTAAGGCAACCTTCGAAGTTCCTTTTTAACCCTTTGCACTCGGTTGTTCCCTCTTAGGTGACATTTTAAGTCTAGATGGGATGGCGCAGGGTGCAAAGGGTTAAGCTTTAAGCTGCCGTCTTCGAGAAGGAATTTCTCGTGCCTAGTGCAACCAGGGCCGAAATAATTCGAAACCAAAAACAGCCAAGTGGAAAATAATAATGATTTTTCGAAACCACGTTAAATAGTGCCCACCAGTTGCACTCAGCACATCGCAATAATTTTAACCTTAACAACTATATTCTTACGTTGCAACTAGACTAGCAGACGTGGTATACCTTTTCTCCTTTTAATTCCAATAAACAGCCGTCAAATCTTCGATTCCGACTTTCGTAGAGAGATATGAACGAGATGAAAAATACGAACAGAAGATAAGGAAAGAAAAAGTCCTCTAAAGTAACAGAGATGAGCTTTAGATGAGCTTTACAAGACGATATAGAAATGTCCAGAAGCGTTAGCGTTTCGGATCTTCCAAAATCCCATGGAATACAAAATACACGTTTCTTATAATACAGAGAATATAAATACGAAAAATTGTAGGACTTCGACGTCGAGCGCAAAGTAGAAAATTTCCTCAATTCTCTCCTCGACCCTCAATACCAGGACTTTATATACTTCCATCGATTAACTCGCCGATCTCTCTTTTTCTTTCTTTTTCTTTCATTTTGAGCAACATTCGCGCAATTCTCCTCGTCTACATCGCATTCGGTTTTTTTATCTCGTGTATGCCGCCTTTCAGGCTCGCCTCAATTCCATGTAAATTCGAAAGAAGCACATATTTCTATTCGTATATGTATATATACACTATATATCTGTATATATAGATGTATATATATGTATATCCCGCAATATATATAGAACGGAGCGCCGACATCTTGCAAATATTGTCGGGAAATTCGAGGTTTTCCGCGCGCACTGACACTCATGCATATATATGTACATTAACAAGAGGCGTGGACTCGCGAGAGTGGATATTGGCCTTGTCGTATGATAAACAAAAAGACATGTATAGTAAAAATTTGATTTCCTCCTCCGGATCGGGAATTCTGCTTACATATTTGGGTTGATGTCGGACACGTGCCGGAGACTCGAGAGCCCTCGTGCGGAACACACTCGAGGTAGCCGGCATTTCGAACCAGCTACGTAGGTACATATGTACAAATCTACAAGCAAGTATGTTTCTTCGAAACTATCCTACATAGGCCACTTTGCGAGGGACTCGGAAAATAGGGAAACACTTCCGGGAAGAGAAGAAAAAGTCCTTCGGAAGGGACGCCTCTTTCTTCGAGTTGCTCGCAAGGCAAGGGATTCTTAAACATGTCTCTCGCGACCCGGTCGTGGTGAACAATCATTTGTCACAATGCATACAAGCCTCGCGGTTAAACGACGATCATACAAAAAGAACATAAAATCGGCCCATTACTTTGAATATTTCGATATTTCGGGTATAATAACACTTTTCGAGCAGGGGACGTCCTGCAAGAATTGTCCCTTCTCGACGGTTACTTAAATAAAAAATAATAAATTGTTCGTTAAAACGATAATAAAACGACGTTTAAACCGCGAGACCACTTTGTAGGACATCGAGGATAGTTAAAAAAAAAAAGAAAAAAGAAAACGCAGGGATCGTTCTCCAAAATTCTCGAGCGATTCAGCGGCGCTAATAAAAAAAAAACCCAACGTACGAATACCCATGTAACAAATAATTGCTCCACGAAACATTGCGATTCTTGTACATAGAATTCGTAACGAGAACGACGTCTCCGCGTGCACCTTTATGGAAAAATACTATGTGTACTATTTGTCTATCTATGCCGTAGGATCGAATCGTTTCTCTCGTTCGTGCTTCTACGCGTAGCTATACACTCGGGCCGAGAATCGAAAATATGATATATTATATATATATAGGAGAAACTTAACTATATGTATTTTTTTTTTCTTTAAGTGCCACCTCGTGAGTGCTTAGGCTTAAATGTAAACGTATTTCTTGCGTGTCACTGTCTCTCCCCGCGGGGAGATTCATATTCTCATCGTGTAATGAAATATGTATATCCACGTACACGCGAGTATATAATATGCTTATTCCGACATGTGTGCATACGCTATGTACATAGAAAATTACAGAACTATTCTATAAGTACTGCTCTAACCCGCACGCAAACATTTGTCCGACACAGGCCACTCTCGCTTGCTTTCTTCCCACACGCGTACATTGTTTTTTTTTTTTCTCTTTAATTATCTCTCGCTTTCGCACACTTCGTAAGATCCTCGGTATTATTGTTTGTTTGTTTGTTTATTTTTTTTTTTACCTTTGTACTTGGTCGTACTTCGCCCCGCAGCATCAAATCTGTGTTCGTTAGACTTATTTCCCTCCTGTCCATTCCAACATCGGACTCGTCTTAACCCTTTGCCCTCCCTTGTCGAGGGTGACTCGACATCGGCAATCGATATCCCATTTATTCGGAGTGCAAAGGGTTAATAAGGGACCTGATAAAGCAAGAAACTGGAAAGGATACCCCGGGCTGACAAACTTCAAGTTCCTTGCCTTCCACGGCCCCTAAGGGTCTCGACTTGGAACGAAGAGGAGAGGGTCGATGATTCGAACGTGTCAGATGCGAGAGAATAGGGAGACGGCGTAATCAATCCATAATCAATTACAGGGATAAGTGGACCGCGCGGCTGCGATCTTGGCGCTTTCGATAGGATATAAAAATGATTTTTTTTTTCCATAAAAAATGCCTTAATCCTAGTATCTTGCACAGGGAGGCGGACTCATCGGCCCGCCGAGTGTTAAAGGATGTCAGTTAACTTCGCAACTAAAACTTAATAATGCGTTAAATAAATTCTCCTTAACGCTTACTCTTTTTTTTCCCTCACTTTCGCTCTTTATCCCTCTCACTCTTAATGCCAACGTAAAACAGTAACACGCGCCTAGGCGAAAGGAGGTTAGCGTAGCACCGTATATCTCGTATCACACGAAACTGCACTAAGCGAGGGCACGTTTTCGGTGATCGACGGTAATAATTGCCGTAATAATTACGGGGGATTGAGGGTAAAACCGGCGAACACCAAGAACGTCCCCTCGAGCTTAACACTGTTGTCAGAAAATGGTATGCCTTGTCTTGGTTGCACAGGCATTCCTATCGTGTCCAAAGCAATCCGGTATCAAATGCGGATGACCCGAAGCACCAGGTTCGACATAATGCTCCAATCGGACATGTAAATAAGAAAAGGACCCATTAAACAGGACCTGCGCAACTTCCGGCACTTGACAATGTCAACCGCTAGGCATATGCCGAATGCTTTCAGGAATTATGGTTTGAATCTTGAAACGATCCTCGAGATTAAAAGATGGATCGAAAAGGACCGATGTTTAAATGAGTTACTCTTCGGCTGAAATATACCGTCTTGATCCGAAGAGCAGCTCTCTATTCTTACTAACTAATCTCATCGTAGAATGGACATTGGGATCTCCCCGGTGCCATCCACTTGTCACTCAAGACCTCACTTCTTATATACATTATTTACACCGATTGCGGTCTACTTTAACCATCCATTTTAATTAGTATTTTCAATACCATGAAATACCCTATTGCAACATGTCCGTTCGTCGAGTACGAACCAGGGATATAAAATGATCACTCGTTTTATCACATTGCACTATATTCCGGTTAGGTAAATCAATGAGTAAATCAGTGAGTCAAATACCCATTGTAGCGCTTGCAAGTTTTGGACACTTACAATCTTGCATTGCTGCTCGTTATCACCGTAACTGGCTCCTTGAAGTACAATGTTTGAGCGGTTAAATGTTATTCTTTTAATACAGTGTATGGTATCAAATGTAATTAAATGAGCGATCATTCGAAATCCTGGCACAAAGGGCCGCTTTACACATAAAGTTCCAACATACATAAGATTTCTGAAACACAACTGAGCATGTTGAAATTATTTCAGGTATATTACAGAAATATGATGCAGACTTTTGTGCTCTACTGGAAGTATGTATGTACATTGCATCGATCTGATCTCGTTTAGTGTCAAAACTAGCCGTACCTGCGCGCTTAGTTCGACAAACCGTGCGACCCATATTCGAGCACGGTTCCACATCAAAGTTTAACCATTCTACAATTACAGTAAATTTAAACATAGGTGGTCCAAGACAAGTACCTTCGCCTATCGAGTGGAAAAAATTAACATGTTTGTCATTGTCAATATACCTGCATTAAATTGTTACGTTTTGTCCGCGCCAATTGCGCATTCGCCATCGCTAACATCGCTTGTGTACTAACCGCCAATACCGATCTTTCTCTCACGTATTGCATAACGTTAATACAGATTGGCAAAACGCTCGGTGAACCTCGTAATTCAATTTCACTTATCTCGGTGCGATGTTAACACCAAAGCCATTGTGTATATCAAAACGAGCACACATCGTGAACCGAGACGCATGGGACTCTAAAGTCAAGTTACGTTCATGAAATTACTCTAGTATAGATGTTTAAATATCATCCATGCATTTACCTCTAAATTATTGTAGCCCTTTTAATTAAATACTGCACTACCCGAATATGAAAGATAGCGAGACATTACTTGGCAACGACCCCCTATACGAGCTTCCACTGTTACTCGACACTATTTTACACGAGTACCCAAGTAAGACTAATTATGGCTCACTTTAAAACGTAAACGGACTGGCTAGATTAGTCCTATCTCGTGTTTTAAGACTGCGCCAAATAAGTCTGGAAGAAAGATCCCTACCGGCGGTCGACAAACTGCGAAACGTTATGTCACGGTAGATTACAAATCCAGGAGTACCAATGTAACTGTCAATCACGGTATCATCGGTACGTAGTATTGCTGAAAGTTAAATTCAATAGAATTCATTTGAACTTGCTGCGCAGACGTAGTCTAAGCATTTCAGTCTCCTCCTTCAAGACCATTTTGATCCGGAACCTGACACGAAGACCATCTCTCTCCAGGATAGCAGCCTCATCGGTCTGCAGTAGAATTGAATTTCGCGTAACGTTTTGCTGACCACGATTAAGTTATACCGGTTAACTTAATCGTCAGCATAAGCTTTTCTCAAACAACCCCCGGTTGCATGGTGAGTAAGTAGGTTGTAGGGTCGTAGTACCCAGCCAAATAGTAAATGTCATTGTTGTCGTAGATAGTGAGGTATCTGTGTGGCTCTTTTCCCAATTTCTCGGTGTAGGCTTCCAATGGAAGAACCTCGCACTTATGAGAGATCGTCTGTACATCGTTCTCGTCCATGTGTGGAGATTCGAATAAAGCACCCTGCAACAAGAGTTCATGAATTGGAAACGGATACAGAAGCCAACGTTATTTAATCCGCTTAAGGTGAAGTGAAACACGTCGAGAAACTTAATCGAAGTCGGTAAAAAAGGTTCCACTAAATGCCTACGTTGCCGACGTTCGTTTTTATATTGACAACTGTATCGAATTATATTGGATATTGTACTAAGTTGCATAATCCATGTATCATTTTCGTACAATAATTATAAAGAAATCGAAGTAAAACTCCAGAAATTCTCTGGATTCATGATTTTCGATGTAGTAATTGACTGGAGAGGGCCACCTTGCGCCATCTGTGATTCTAGTTTCAACTACATTTTCTCTCCGAGACCTCGTGTTATCTTCGTTTTAGCACAGAAGTGCATAAGACACTTGTTTTGCTTTTATCCCGTTCAAATGCGAGTTTCTCGAATACCAGTATTCTAACTTGTTGTACAATTGTCCTGACACCTTCGTTCCTCGTATTAGAGCCTTCAATAATTGTATATCAATCGAAATATGAGAGCTCGACGCCATGTTGGTTTTGGTTTGGACTAAGTTAAACCATTATTTGTTGAAAATCAAAATGTTGAAAGTGCCAGGATAATTCCTAAGTGCTCACGAGTCATGTATCAAAGTCTCAGACGGTTCGATTCAATACTTAAAAAAAAAAAGTGTCTTATTCAAATCGACTGATTTGAGGGGGGGTTTCACTTCACCTTAATATGACATTGTCATTGCTAAATGCTTACGGGATATTTCAGATTAGTCGGACAGCCCACAGTTTCTTCGGGATGGTAGAACCACTTGACCTTAACGATCATATTAGAACTTGAAGTCTCCCACATGGATTCGATTCTGCCAATGTAAGGTCGATCGGGTCTACCCGTTGAAAGAAATACGGCACTGTCTCCGATCTGGATCGTTTCGCTTCCCCTTTGGATAGCTCGGAAGAACTGTTTCTTCGCCCTACCCTTAGCTCCTGGCCTCCTATAACCTTTCCCAGCCCAGCCCCAGAGTTGCCGGGCAGGCAGGAATGCCGCCATTTTACTTCTACTTTCCACGGACTCCTGTCTTTCCCGTGACTTTGCCTTCTTATCTGATTTCTTAGGCTTCTCCACCTTTTCCTCCGTTACGACTTCTTGCACTGGTTCGGTTACAGGTTCTTCGGTCGTTTCATTTTCGACCAACTTCTCATCGATAGGCTCCTTGTCCTCGTCAGTCTTTAGGGAAATATCTTTAGCGGGTTCCTCTTCGCTTTTTTGACCTGAGCAGCTTTCTCCGCCACTAAAATGAAAATTAAGGCACATAAGAATTTTATTTTAAATTTTAAAAGATGGTACGCGTTCCTTTTCGTAAACTACAGAATGTAATAAAGTGACTAACCTTTGATGGCTCGTTTCACTGTGGCTGCTATGATGACCGTGCTTGTGCTTGTGTTTCCTGTGCTTCCTGTGCTTATGTTTTCGGTGTTCCTCGCAGCACTTGTGCCTCCTGTGCTTTTTCTTCCCCTCCTGCGCTTCCTGGAGTCTTTTCAGCTTATCTCGTTTCCTTTTCTTCATTCGCTTCCTTTCGCGATAGTCCTCTAGTGCCTTTGCATCTATTTCGTCGACTTTTTGTTTCTCTGGGGATTTCGCGTCACTTCCAGTGACCGACGTTGTAGGTACCGTCGACGAAGAACTCAATGTTGGAACGGAAAGTTGCGTCGTGGTGGAGGACCTCTTATCTTCCGTTGACATCGACGCTTGTCGTCGCCGTTTACCCAACGACAATAATGGATTAGGATCGTACTCTGGAATTTAAAGAAATATAATTACACTCTGAATGAAAGAAGGATTCTTTTTTTTTTTTTTTCTATGAAACCTTGCTGTTTCATTAAGGCACAACGAAAATGTTATAAGACGAAAAAAGTGATTTTTCAGTAAAACCACTGCTATTTTGGTAAAAATCGGTATTTCCAAAAATCCTTCATTCATTGAGCAGTCCTCTATACGTAGAATGAGCCCTAAACAATTGATGTCGATCGGTGAAACACTTTTTCAGATATTGTGGTCACCACAAAAAAGAAAACTTTTCGGAGAATTGCTGTACCTCGCCAATTTTTAAATACATCTTGACAAAAAAAAATTATATATTAAATTTAATAATTGTACTATGAAATCACGCTCTGTTTTCGATTAAAAAATACACTTTAGTTATGAAAAAAAATTCTTAATTTCGTCTTTGACAACTGCATATAACCCCTTAAGGTGAAGTGAAACACGTCGAGGAACTTGTTCGACGTCGATAAAGAAAATTTTTCTAAATATCTATGTCACCGACGTTCGTTTTTATATTGACAGCCATGTCGAATTATATTGAGTATTGCACTAAATGGCATACTCCACTTGTTGTTTTCGTACATTAATTACAAAGAAATCAAAGTAAAACTCCAGAAATCCTCTGGATTCATGCTTTCTGGGGCTCTAATTGACTGAGAGGGACCCCCTGCGCCATCTGTGATTTCCAGGTCAATTAATTTTTCTCTCCGAGACCTCGTATTCCCATCGTTGTAGCATAGAAGCGCATAAAACATTTTTTTTGCCTGTATCCCGTTCAAATGCGAGTTTATCGATTACCAAAGTGTTCTAAATTGTCATACAAGTGTCCTGACCCTTTCGTTTCTCATATCAGAGCCTTCGATAATTGTATATCGATCGAAATATGAGAGCTCGACGTCATTTTGGTTCTGGTCTGGGCTAAGTTAAAAAATGTTTTCCAAAAATCCAAATCTTGAATGTGCCAGGACAATTCTTAGATGATCACGAGTCATGTGTCAAAGTTTCGGACAGTTTGGACCAATACCCTTAAAAAAAAATGTTCTATCCGAATCGACTCATTTGAAGGGGGTTTCACTTCACCTTAATGAATGTACCTAAGAAGCAACTTTTCTCAACAGTTTCAAGTGGTGTAAGATTCCGGGATCGGAGTGAACTTACCAACAACGGGATAGTCCGGTTGCAGTAACCTGATGTCGTCGAGAGCTATTCTGCCACTATCGCCATCGTCGAACTCTACGCTGACGAACTTCTCATCGAGTTCTGGATCTGGCTCCGTAGGTTCCACGGAAGTTCCCGGATAGAGACACCTATATTGCTGGCTCCAATAGGCACAAAGCCTCGTACCAGGTGGTAACTCCTTCGTCGAGCTCGGACAGACTTCGACGATCTGTAACGGTCTAGAGTTAAGTTAACAATTACACGTTAAAGGGCGCCCAGAGTAATTGAACTTACGGCGTCTCTTAGGATCTCTTCTCTCGAATGAATGTGGGGCCTGTTGCCTCGTTCTCCGTCTAAAGTAATGGCGTAGACGTCCGGTGCTTGAACGGCACTCAGTCTGCCTGCATAGAAAAGACCACCCATAGCTGTCAAGACTCTTAGCTGATCGATGGCTAGATGTGCAGATGTTAATTTGCATCGGTTGATGATGCTCTCGGCACGTTCCGCTTTCGCGGCCTTTGCGCACTCCTTGCACTCCGACGACTTTCGTCGTTTCGATTCCTTCGCTTCCCTCTCGGTGGACTTGTGCCTCTTCGGTGAGGAAGAAGTAGATTTGCGTTTCTTTTTGGTCTTCTCGGGCCTTTCTTCCTTCTCTTCCACCTGGATCTCCTCTTTCTCTGGCGGATCTACGTAAATTTCCTGAAGAAATGGAGAATACGTTAATTTCGTTAGTAAAAGAACACTTTTCAGTCACTCTCGGATATCATACTTTTGGAGATTCTGGCAGGATTGTTTCCGGCACTGTGCTGTCCGCAACGCTGGCCCAGTCACCGCTTTCTTCGTCCTCCCAAGTCTTGACCTTGGCCTCCGCTTTCAACTTCGGCTTGATTTTACTTGTCTGCTTTTCCAGTTTTGAATCCTGGCTAAGTTTAGCCTTCTCTGCGATTATGGAACTGATTACCGTTTTACTGTGAAGCGGAGTTTGTTTCACCGGTTTGGTCTTTGGCTTTGAGACCTTGTGACTCTTCGACGAGATCTTCGAGCACGACAAACTGGACTTGAAGGGCAATGGGGTGTACCCCGATTTACTGACAAACTGAAATCAAACTCAACCGTTAATTAATTGCGAAAGAGACAGAAATGATCGGTATTATTGGCAGAGTTTTATACCAACCTTGTTCTGCAGGTGGTGTCTGTTTTTCGAATTCATTAGATACCCTACAAGAGAGCTTTTGCTCTTCGGCTTCTTTGCCACGATGGTTTCCGTAAAGTGCCTGGTACTTCCAGAGCTGCACATTATTTTTCGAGGTCTGCCAACCTTCCGCTTCTTCGATGCAGAACTCGTACTGGCAATTGTTGGCGCTGGCGAGGACGTTTCGTAATTCAACTGAAAAGAAAATTACGATTATGCAAATGATTCGAGCCGATTCTAATTCGTTCCGAGTTCCTGTTCCCGTAAGGGGCACGGTGAAGCTTACCCTTGCGTTGTTCTTCTCTTCTTCTTCTTGCTGGACTTTATTTACCGGGAGAACCGTAATGGGTGACGCCACCGGTTGCACCGGTATCGGGATGCTTGGTATGCTGTCCAACAACTTGATGTGACTTCGGGGCTCGCCTAATTTTATTAAATTAACATTACATCTTGGCATGGCCAGTACCGACGTCAAAGGTGGAGTAGGCTCATCGATTGCCATTATCGGAGATTTGCACGGAGAGCTCGCGGAGTCCAACATCGGCGGCGACGCCAGAATTCCACTTTCGGAGCTGAAATATAAGAAATATTTATTAATTGACCTCGTCGAAATGTCATCAACCAGGGCGATAACAATTCACATCGATGGAAGGGAAGTTAACGGAACGAGTAATCGGTATTCTCACCTAGAAGAGTGGCTCTTCTTTCGAGGCCTTCCGGGACTCTTCTTTTCTTCCTTCTTTGGGGTCAATTTGGACAGTTCTTTCTGTTTCTCCTTGTACTGTCTCTGGATGTCGGCCAACCTGACTCGCATATCCAACTCCATGGCGTCCATATTCGGCCAATCCCCGTCGTTCTCCAAAAGACCTTTCTTCGCGATGAACTTCTTTGCCTCCAACTTCCCGCGAATACTACCGTAAGTATGGAGCTGCGATTCGGGAGATTCATGGTGATCCTCCAAGGGTGGGACTTTATCTTCAAAATTCTCAGGTCCTAAAGTTCCTGCGAGAGGACTGCAAAATTTCTTCCTCTCTCCGCTTAAGTCGACTATTTCCGGATCGCTGAAGTCACATTCCTGTTGGACCTCCCCATAAGGCTTCTTGACTCCGCGAAAGTACTTGTACTTCTTATTGTACTCCTTGAGCAGCTTAGTCCTTTCGTACCCGGCATCATCGACAGTGATTTTACTTTCCTCCTTCCCGTGACTCTCATCGTAAGGATACTTACTACCCTCTTCGCCATCCTTCCTCGCAGGATTCTCTCCATTGCTCGGGACTTTATCAGTGCTCTCGGTGAAGTCGATGTTCCTCCGGGTCTTTTCCTTCATCCTAAACAATATCTCTCCGCCCTTTCTGCTCTTTTTGATGTCTTCAAAGTAATGTGGCTCCTCCTCGAGGGAGGCTCTCTTAAAACGATCTTCGCAGGCTCTCTTCGAATGTTCATAGCCATCGCAGGAGTGCTTCCTTTTCTCTACCCTGCTTCTTCCGAGAACGCTGCTTTTCCCAAGATTTAGGAGAAGCCTGCCTGCACGAGAAATCTCTTCCGAACTCTCCAAATTAGTCGTTCGCTTCGGTACGTCGACTGCAACTTCTTCCATGAACCTCTGCTCGGCGAGGGCACAAAGTAAACCCAACGGGCTATCCACGTTATTGTTGCTCTCCCCTGAAGGAACCAAAGCCTTGGATCTGTTCGGTGACTTATCCGGATCAGCAGTTAAACCGTTCTGAATCTCCGGTTTGAGGTGTTCGAATTGTTCTATGCTATTGGATAGGAGTTCCAAACCGCTAAGGTCAACCGAAAGTTTCTGTTTGCCGGTCAACCTGGGTCTCTTCTCCTCCACGCCTGGTGATGACAAATCCGAGGCTTCTGTCGAGGGTGAGATAGTCACGGAAGAGGAGTCCGGACCTGCGCTACCAAATCCAGGGTCCACGCTCTTCATAGGAGTCATGGAGTCGAACTTTCGATCGCTCGGTTCCTCCTTTTCGAAGAGTTCGCAGTAACCATCCTGGCCTATCCTCTCTTGCTTCGGGATCTTCATTTCCTCGTTGTTATTGTTATTGATGATATTATTGTTACTGCTCTCGTTGTTGTTGTTGAGGAAGAATTCGTGAGTAGGGAGATTCATCCCGGGGGACTTGCGGTCGACCTCTGTCCTCTGAGAATACTTATCGGAGAGGACGAACCGATCCGGGACTTGGTCTCCGGGACATTTCTCCTCTGCGCTCTTCAGCTTCTCAAGGGCCTCGGCATTCTCGCACGACCTTAGAATCAGTTTCTTCAGGCCATTCTCTAACCTTCGGTGAGTACTCTCAACGGGTCTGAGTAAAGTCTCGGGTGGATTCCCCAATCTCTCCTTCGCTTCCTCAGCCTTGTGGGAATCCTGCATCGCGGCGTTCTTCTTCTTCAACTTCTCAACGACGTTTTCAATCCCGGGATGTAACTTCTCCCCGGAATGTCTCTTGAAACTCTCGAGGCATTTCGGTCTTTCCACTGGAATCGCAGGACTTTTCGAGGCGTAAGCGCAATCCGTGAACCTGATTTCATCCTTCTCTTGTTTGACCACCACTTGTTCCACGTCGTGCTCCTCGTCGATGGAAGGCATGTCGAACGACTTAACGGTCAGCTGTATCTGAGTTTCCCCGCCCTGTGGAGGCCAAGATTCGCGATTTTTCCCGCAACTCTCGCAATTTGGGGCGCCCGGAAGAGAGCTAACACCGGCAGAGGTGACCGATTTCACGACACCGCAATGAAGCCCGCCGGTTTCGAGACCACTGCTCTCGGCATCCTGGAAATTAGGCTCCAAGGAGGTGATCTTTGAATTCCCGTCAAGAGTCTCCACTAGTTTAGGCTCCTCGGTGATCTTCACCTCGGCCTCCTCTTTATCCCGGTACCACTTCTCTTCGGAACACCTTGTGAGATCCTCCGGTTTCCCCAAGTAGTAGTCATGGGGGTCTCTTCTTCTGGTGAAGAACTCCAAGTTCTCGTGGAAACTGTCGCAGTTCTCTTCGGTGATCTCTATGATTTTAGGCCCCATTCTTGCGTCTCGAAGGATCGGCCTCTGTTCCTGTTCGACCGAGACCTTTTCTTCGTCTTCGTCAGGCTCCTCTTGGCAGTAATTGACCACGTGCTCGATCGTCCTGTCGACCGAGTTCCTGCAATCCTTGATCGGCGATTGAGTAGGGCCATGCTTTGAACGGTCGGACATGTTGACGACGGTATTTTCGGCCTTGTCGACCTTGGTGATGATGCTTCCGCGTTGACTCCCGGTGCCTCCGATTCTGACACTGCAGATCCTGTCAGAGGATGACACCATGTCGTAACTCGGTGTACTTGCGCCTTGCATTTGACAAGGACTTGGATTTTGTTCTTGCTTCACGTAAGGCTCTATTATCCCGTGTTCTTCGTCGGTCTCTGGGGCGTCCGTTTGGTTCGAAGCATCCTGGACTCCGATCGGAATCGAATCGGCAGGCTCGATCGCGTGGATCGTCGTCACTTCAGGTGGAGGGGTCAAACAGGAGACGGGTGATGTCGCCTTCGAGAGAAACGCATTTGGCTGCTTTAAGGGGCACGGAGAACGGAATTTTTTAGTTCCTTATTAACAATATCAATCGGGACTTTTCCCCAGAAAGATTGCAGGTGAAGCATCAAGCGTTGAAATTGTCAATAAATAGTCTACTCGTTTCGACACATTTTCCTGATTGATCATTGAACATTGATACAACTTCGGTCGAAATTTTACCCCTACTTTGAACCTGCGTAATCTAAGTATCACCTACGATTAAAGGTTCTAAGCAGGATAAAAATCTCCACTCAGGAAAAGAATGACAAATGTTCTGATAAGCTTCAAGGAAATATCCAACGATACAATCCGACACTCAGCAAATAAGACCAGGTTGTGAATACATTAACGGTTGTTCAATAATAACTGTTTACGTGATTCTCACCTGCGTTTTACAGTGTGCAGGCTCGGCTTGGCTGATTTGTACCAGTGCTGGTGCATGCGGATAGTAATGCAAAGTGGTTACTAACGGCGTGTCCGGAATCAGAGTCCCCGTCACAGAAGTGACGGTCTGCAGCGCCTTGGTTGACTCCGTAGATGCTGCGTAATGTATAAACTCTAGTAAGTGTTTTTAATAGGATATAATAATTTCGGACCAACAAATCGTATCCACGCAGGGAGGGTAATCGAATTCAACATACTGATGATCGTGGTTGGACTACTTCCGCAATCGGCTTCGATCTTGACGATTGGCAGGCTGCTCTGTTGCTTCCGTTTGTTCTCCGTGAGGACCAGCCTCGCGCCACCGATGTCACTCAGAAGCTGAAGAGACGGGGGTGGTGGCGGAGGCAGCAGAAGAGGCGGTGGTGGACCGACGTTATTGCTGCCATGATTCGGGTAATTAGGCCAGACGACTGCCTGCTGCATTTGTTCTGGAAATATTACCGATCGGTTGTAGACGCGCCCCTAGAATGCTCGAAATCTCGAACAAATGTACAGTCCTCCCTCAATTTACGCCACACTTTCTATACGCGGTAAATTATAACACAATTTACCCTGTTTTGAAACGTCATTATTTTTTTCTAGTAAAACTTCTAATGCAGCGCCCGAGCCTCGACCAGTTGAAGAGTAAAATACTGGAAAGGATGAGATGTAACGAAAAAGCGTCACGTTTTTCATTACTCTTTATGAGAAAGCTTTTCCAGGTGGATTGGTTAAAAAATATTATGTTCTTGTGGGTAAAACTGCCAAATCGCCCCTTGACACGTTCTACTTTGAATAATGGTTTCACCCCCTTAAAGTGTTTAATGGCAGATACAAAAAAATACGTGTCGCTTAGTTTTCAGTCTACCATAACATATTATAAAAGAAATCAAATCGGAAAGATCGACCTGGGATACCTTCCTTGCGAGTAGGATTTTCTGTCGACTTTTCGTATAAATTGGTGAATATATCAGCCTGTATATACATATGCAATAGAAAATCATATAAGTGAAAGTGAAAAGACAACAACCCCGATAAGTTGCGAAGCTGGACCTTTCAATTTGGGAATAGAAGCTCCGCATTTAGGTAATGCAAATGAATTGCTGAAGTATTACTTCGATCGTGTGTCCCGCGACTCGCACATTTTTCTTTTTTTTTTTTAAGATATCAGAAATAAATATGTATTTCTACAACTTATATGTACTAGCTTTAATTTACAATATTTTTTCTTTTCTACCGACAGACTTTATGCGATTTTCATTCGCGTAAAACGAATGCACGTGGAACGGATACTTCGCATAAATTGAGGGACGGGTGTACTTTCAAAGTGAGTACTCTTATTCCTTCCAGGATTAATGTCTTCAAAACTTAAGAAAGCATCAATCCATAATGCGCAACAAATGCCATACATTGATTCTATACATTTTAGCTACATAGGCAAAAATAAATACACGGCTGGCTACGGGTGTTGGAAGTAAAACTTCTTTTTCTATTTCTATTTCACGTTAAACGTCAATAAATTATTGTAGAAAATAAGGCTGTAAAAAAAAGTGTCTCGATACTAACACACAAAGAATATATATATATAGAAATAACTGTAACAGAAAATAAAATAAGTGTTTCACTTTTCGTTGCGCTCGCAGTACTTCACGTGCGAATTTAACTACCATGGCCGCCTCAAAAAACAAGAATACCTTCTTTATTAAACTAATATTGAATCCAGTAACTTATGTAATTATGCATAAAAGGGTGTTCCTCTCCGACCTTTCGTATAACTTTGATTGAGTATATTCAAGTCCGGCCCTTAACACTAGGTTTACGGGACCCGTCAATTTAACGGAATTCAAACTTCAAAAAGAAATACCGAAAAAACCATAGCATTAATTTTAACCATTTTTGTATCGTAAATTAATCATTTCATCCAAAGAATTTGTACACGCAATTATTTTTTCCTAAGCCTTCTAATTATTAAAATCTGTATGTAGTATACCTATCTCTACGAAACCCGTCAAATTGACGGACTAGCTAATTTCATAAACAATCCATATATATTTGCTTCGTTCCAGGGAGTGTAAGGCGAAGATGAGAGTAAAAGTTTGCATTGAAAGTGGAGAAATAGAAGGATCTTCGGATAGTGACGAGGAAAACTTCTTGAAAGGGTGTCGTAGCAAGAAAAGGATGCGCATTCTTTCTAGTTCCGACTCCGAGGATGAGAGGACGAGCATTCCAATCATTTCCGTGATAATTTTTAAAAAAGGACTTTTTACTTATTAATAATTCATTTAAACGTAAAGCCTAGGGTTGTTTAACACAGACTTAATTTAAATAAATCGATTTTTTTAATAAAATGCGTGTTTTCGTTTACCCGTCAATTTGACGGGTGCTCGTAGAAACAGGTATATAAAAAACGCCCGTAAACCTAGTGTTAAATATGTGGCGGTCATAGCATATATATATCAGAAGTTCCTCCTTCTACACGGGCCATCGATAGCCCAGCGGTTACGCTCACCGCTCATACCACGTAGTCTCTCGGGTTCGAATCCCGCTCAGGAGAGATTTTTTCGGTGTCTAAGGCAGGGTCTGCCTGATAGTCTTACCGATGAGTCCACACAGGCATACCCGGGACGAAACACACAACTATGGGTACACACCACCGCCTACAAACCCAAAGTGGTGGGGGTCATGGAGAGCCACGACGGGTCATTTGGTGGTTGGACTCTTTTCAGGGTAGTACGACTGAGGCTGCCGAGCTGTAAAGCCCCGCAGCCCACGTGCGTGCCTTGGTTAGAGCCCCACCCGATGGTAAAACCGAGTGGTGAACTCCATGAGGCAACGGTCCGCAAGCGCGGACCCCCCGGGCCGGGAGAGAGGGCCGTCTCACGGAGTCTAAATATGAGACGTAAAGCACCACACTCCGAATCCTCTCAGATCCGAGACATGGCGACATCACGTCGCACTCGGAAACCGGTGAGTAGGGCCGACCACAGGTGGCGCGGTTGCGCGCGACGCCTGCGGCCCCCTGGGGTGGACTCTCCCAGGACCCGTAAGGGCTGCACGTAGAACTGGTCATTCTACCCGACAACAACAAATGGGTACACACCACCTCCACACCTAAAACCCAAAGTGCTGACCCCGACGTGATTGAACACGCACACGCACAAAAAACCTACCTTTCGTCCTACTCCAGACTTCTAGACGACTTGCCTCTCTCCCACTCTCTGGCAACTAGCCTCGTACGCATCAATGCAACCAGTCACATACACACGCGCGCGCGCGCGCGCAACCAGTCACGTACACGCACGCACGCGCGCGCGTACGACTCTAGCCAGGTACGCACCCTAGCCTCATACAACGGCATACACTAGCCTCGTACACGGCACGCACTTTTCAACCACCAGCAGACCCTCATATCGTTGTACTCGCGGGGGAGTACTGTGGCGGTCATAGCAAATATATATCAGAAGTTCTTTCTTCTACACGGGCCTTTGATAGTCCAACGGTTACGCTCACCGCTCGTACCGCATAGTCTCTTTTGGGTTGTTTCGTCCCGGGTCTGCCTGTGTGGACTCATCAGTAAGGCTATCAGGCAGACCTAGAGTTCGAAAATTCTCGGTAACATTAAACTGGAGAAGGTAACTGGGAAACATACCGTAAGTTACCGGGAACATTGAGAATTTAAGAGAACATTAATTTCGTTATTTATACTTTAGGTTTCTTCGTTTAAATAACTTTTCTTTTTCAATCAACTTCTAAGTTCAAGCTAAAGAGTAATAATTACTATTAGAAAATATTGATTATAGGGTCGTATTTACCTCCAGCTAAAAATATTCACGTATGTTCAACTTCACAGAAAATTCCATGCCATTTGTTTCAAACGAACTGATATTTCATTCTGCGACGAAGCGAATGGGAGGTTTTGATTGGTTACGGAGAACGCACAACGGAAATTCCCCTCTACGATGTTTCTCTATAGCTAATCGAAACCTCTCGTTCGCTCTGTTGAAAAATTCAAATTCTCATAATTTCTCGATAAAAAAGGCTTTGGAGAAATTACCGATATATTACCGGGAATTTCTCTTCGTTTCTGACGTAACTTACTGGATTTAGAACTCTAGGCAGACCCTGCTTTAGACACCAAAAAATCTCTCCTGAGCGGGATTCGAATCCGAGATACTACGCGGTACGAGTGGTGAGCGTAACCGCTGGGCTAACGAAGGCCCGTGTATAAGGAAGAACTTCTGATATATATATGGTATGACCGCCACAAATATATATATCTTAAAATACTCGGGACGGCGTCCTTTACAATATATCAAAGTTACACGAAATTCGGAGAGCCCTTTTAAGCGTAATTACCCTAGCTTATATCGCGCTTGTCGTAATTGATTATCGGTCGAAACGTGTACACAAGTATTGGGAAAGGCCCACTTAGCCACAAACCCATTTGAGCACAGAGCATAGAACACGGTTATTGGACACGTCGGTAATAGCATCTCTTCATATCGGACACAGTTCATGGCAGGTATCGCTTTCGAGGTTCTAGGGATATTTATGCTTCCACTAGGATTGTTCGCGTTTATAACGCCGACATATCCCTAAACGCGGGGGATAAACGTGTATATTTCTAGGGTTTCAAAGGCGTTTACCTGCCGTTAATTATGCGTCCAACACGAAATGTCAGAGCTGACGTGTCCAATAATTGTGTGCTCTATGGCTCCGTACGAAACGGGCAGCACTCCAAATATTTACAATTCCGGCGGAATTTCCGTTTCCATGGGTTCGTAGAGTCCATTAGTGACTGGGAGAAATTCCCCTGCACTTGACGTGGATTAATTTCGAATTAGTATCGCGAGGTAACGGTGATTAAGGTAACGTTTAAGAGCAAGGTAGACGAGGACTTAAGGAATCGGCCCGTCGAGTTTTTAATCATCCTGCTTACCCCGCAGGATAATTATTTTGGAAGCACTCTGTACACGGAGGAGTTATCGTCGGCCTAGGGCCAGGCCGGCCATAACGCGCGGGCGAGAGAGAGACGCCCGCATCCTTCGCCCTGGGCGAGGAAGAGAGACGCAAAGAGCGAGCCGAAGGGGCAGAGCGTAGCGGCCAGTTATACGGCAGCCATAAATGCGATAATAAATGGGGTCCCGCACGAAAATGACGAAATTACGAGGGCAAAAAACACACGGGACCCCGGGGGGAAGCAAGATGCATGACTGGTAACTTCGGGCCCTTGAGTGGACCCAACATTTGTGCGTTAAGAAAAAAAAAAAAGCCCCGGGACTAGCTCGGATCGCATGATGGTCCTCGTAGAAAATCCGCCTCGCTCCTGTCGCTGATTTTGTCCCTAGACCAAGCAACTTTAAGGTGAAGTGAAACCTCCCTTAAATCAGTCGATTCGAATAAGACACTTTTTCTTAAGGGTATTGGATAGAACCGTTTGAAACTTTGACACGTGATTCGGCAGCACTTAGGAATTATCCTGACACTTTCGAAAGATAGATTTTTTAAACAAATTCGACGAATTCAAAACACCCCAGCGCCACCACATATGGGCAGTGATACTAAATAAGTAACAGGTGCGCATGTGCAAACGTTTTGAATTGTCAATCTGTCAATCGGGGTAATGATAGCTGATACCTATTTGTTCTATACGGAGAGGACTTCGACGAATTCAAAACCCCCCAGCACCACCACATATGGGCAGTGATACTAAATAAGTAAGAGATGCGCATGCGCAAAAATTATGAACCGTCAATCTGTCAATCGCAGCAATGATGGCTGATACCTATTTGTTCTATACGGAGAGGACTTCGACGAATTCAAAACCCCCCAGCACCACCACATATGGGCAGTGATACTAAATAAGTAAGAGATGCGCATGCGCAAAAATTATGAACCGTCAATCTGTCAATCGCAGCAATGATGGTTGATACCTATTTATTCTATACGGAGAAGACTTCAACGACTTCGAGGCACCCTAGCGCCACCACATATGGGCAGTGATACTAAATAAGTAAGAGGTGCGCATGCGCAAAAATTATGAATCGTCAATCGCAGCAATGATAACTGATGCCTATTTGTTCTATACGGAGAGGACTTCGACGAATTCAAGACACCCCAGCGCCACCACATATGGGCAGTGATACTAAATAAGTAACAGGTGCGCATGTGCAAAAGTTTTAAACTGTCAATCGCGGCAACGACAAATGTTGAATTATTAGTTCGCGAAGGTAAACGTTTAAGGTATAAAGGACAGAAGAGACAAAATTTACGGGTAAAATGGTTTGTAGGACAGATTGTAAGAAAGCTTCGACTAAAACAAACCGGTTACCTTTTTCTCTCGTAAGTATTTTAATAAAAATAGCAATTATTATTGTCCAGTAAATTAATTTGACCCCTCTTATCCTATCTGCAGTAGAATGACGCATTGTTTGGACGCGCAAATACTACGATATTAATTTCTGTGCCCATGATCAGAGGGCTCTGATCGCTTCAAAACGTCCCGCCATTTTGTAGGATATCAGCTATCCTGTTAGTATACTTATAGATCAGTGAAATCTCCCCTATCCTCCCCGTTTTTTTTTCTTTTTTTTTTTATAGGGTTTCCAACATACCAGCCGCGTGTATCAGGAGAAGGTGTCCAGTTGAAGGATCCCTGACGAGCTGAAGTCCACCCTGAAGTCCGACTCCCATCTGGGGGAACCCTACGGGCTCCATGGGCATGGCTGGAAAGAAGAGGAGGCGTAAATCGTGGATTCGCAAATTTGACACGCTATTCCGCTGTCTCGACCGATAACGAAAACCTCGAGAACGGGTCGAGGCTCGCGTATATCGGTGCGACGAGTCGAATACTTTAGCAACGCGAGTTACTCGAAGTCCAAAGCATTGCCGACTCGAGTTTGGACTCGAGTCGATAACTAGGTGCTGCGTACATTCGACGCGACGAAATGAATTTATGGCCAGTAAAACGACTCCATTAACGGCGACTCGAGTCGACTCGATACAAAGAGAAGAGTACTTCATCGACTCGAGTTCCTCGAATTTGAAAGCATTGCCGACTCGAGTTTCGACTCGACTCGATAACTCGGTGCCGCGTACATTCGACACGACGAAATGAGTTTATGGCGAGTTGGCAAGTTAAGTGACTCGATTAACGGCGACTCGAGTCGACTCGATACAAAGAGTAGAGTACTTCATCGACTCGAGTTCCTCGAATTTGAAAGCACTGCCGACTCGAGTTTGGACTCGAGTCGATAACTCGGTGCCGCAAACATTCGACGCGACGAAATGAATTTATGGCGAGTTGGCGAGTAAAACGATCCAAATACCGATTACTCGAGAAAACAAATAAAGCGCGATGGGTATCTCGGAATAAGGAACCCGGTCTCTCTTTTCCCTCCGTAACTCGCTCTCGCCCTTCTCTTCGTAGCTCGCATTTGATTGTCCCATTAACTCGAGTTACAATAACAATGACTCGAGTTGACTCGAATACATGCTTCACTCGAGTTTAACGAGGTAAGATGATTTGAAAGGCGCTGAGAAATTTAATCGAGGTCGATAATTTAAAATTCATCTATACCTTTTTGATGGTAACGTCATTTTGAATACTCAAGGGGGAACATAAGCTGGTGCGTCCCGTTCCCGACAATTATATTTATGTTCAGGTCTTTTACTGTCCACGTTGAGAATTATACGAACCGAAGCGTTCCATATGTCATTTTGATAAAGTAATGACGAAAAGATCGACGTAAAACTGTCGAGATCCCGTGAATTCATTATTCTAACGACGGTTTATGACCAACGTCGCCATCTGTGACGTTTAGCTGCAACTAAATTTCTGCTCTAAAAACCCGCGATATCCCCGAGACAAGCCAGCATTCTCTTACAATCGTTGGTGAAAGTATTTTCCATATTTTCCCATCTGACTCGGTAATATTCCATTTCTACGGTATTTTAAATTGTTCGAGCTAGATCCTGAATCTCTTCCATTTTCGACTCTGAGCCTCCAAGAAGCGTAAAACATCGAATACGTGCCCTGACCACGCCATGTTGGTTCTAGTCCATGACCAATAAATAAATCTTTAATGAAGAAATTAAATTTCCTGAGTTTAAGGATCTACCTTAGCGCCCCCACATCCCCGTGGTAAAATTTGAAACGAATCGGTACCCCCAATTCGAAGAATACTTTCCCCAACGATTTAACTTCTCAGATATACATAGGCTGACTCTTTCATATCACCTTAAGGTGAAGTGAAACACGTCGATTAACTTGATCAAAGTCGATAAAGAAGATTTTTCTAAATGCCTACGTAGCCGACGTTCGTTTTTATATTGACAGCTATATCGAATTATATTGGGTATTGTACCAAATGGCGTACTCCCCCTGTCGTTTTCGTACAATAATCATAAAGAAATCAAAGTAAAAGTCCAGAAATCCTCTGGATTCATGCTTTCTGGGGCCCTAATTGACTGCAGTGGTACCCCCTGCGCCATCTGTGATTTCCAGGTCAATTAAATTTTCACTCCGATACCTCGTATTCCCATCCTTTTAGGATAGAAGTGCATACAACACTTTTTTGCCTTTATTCCGTTCAATGCGAGTTTATCCACTACCAGAGTGTTGTAATATGGCGTAAAATTGTCCTGACCCTTCCGATTCTCATATCAGAGCCTTTGATAATTGTATATTGATCGAAATATGAGAGCTCGACGACATTTTGGTTCTGGTCTGGGCTGAGTTAAAAATTCTTTTCAAAAATCCAAATTTTGAACGTGTCAGGACAATTCTTAGATGATCAGGAGTGATGTGTCAAAGTTGTGGACAGTTTGGTCTAATACCCTTAAAAAAAAGTGTTGTATTCGAATCGACTGATTTGAAGGGGGTTTCACTTCACCTTAAAATACTCGACCTCGTCCCATTGCTCCTTGCGTATCTTTGAGACGACCTCGAAAGACCGTTTTCACGGAAATAACTCCTCGGCATAAAGGCTGCTAACGCGACGCGCAATCGTTCTCGCGGGCTCGCGCGAACGATCGAAACCACGCGAAAATGGGCGAAAATGGGTTGAGTCGGACGTATGGAAATTCATTTCGAGAGCCGGGTCGACAAAATGTCACTCGGTCACCCGAAACGAGCCCCTCCCGGGCCGGGGCAGTATTTTCGATCGGCGTAATTGTACTAATTCGAGCGCCGGCTGCATCGATTGTAATTTCACCGGCGTTTCCGGAGGCCCGTCATCGATTTCGCCCGAAAGGTATTTCGAGAATTCGCTCGTCGTTTAGAAACCGATTTAGAAGCCTCTCTGATCTGACCGGGACGTAACTACCCTCTAAAAAAGACCTGATTCATTCAACGAAATCGTTTGATTGCGGTTGGTTTATTTCAAAAGAGGTTTTCGAGTGGACATAATTTTTGTTAGCTCCGCTAAACTAGCTTGCGAGATCGACTGACTCGTTTTTGATAAACTTGTCACTTTTTGATAATATTTTGGGGGATGTGCCTAATATTTTGATGAAATTTTCCAAATTACTTTAACGTTCGCAGAGATCTGCCACAATGTTCTATGGGGTCCACCAAAAGTTATTAACCAAAGGACTTTGTCGGGTCGGCAAAATATTTGACTGTCCACATAATTTGTCACTTTTTGATAATATTCTGGAGGATGAGCCGAATATTTTGGTTAAATTTTCCAAATTGCTTTAACGTTCGCAGAGATCTGCCACGATGTTCTATGGGGTTCACCAAAAGTTATTAACCAAAGGACTTTGTCGGGTCGACAAAATATTTGACTGTCCACATAATTTGTCACTTTTTCATAATATTCTGAAGGATGAGACTAATATTTTGGTTAAATTTTCCAAATTGCTTTAACGTTCAGAGAGATCTGCCACAATGTTCTATGGGGTCCACCAAAAGTTATTAACCAAAGGACTTTGTCGGGCCGGCAAAATATTTGACTGTCCACATAATTTGTCACTTTTTGATAATACTCTGGGGCATGAGCCTAATATTTTGGTTAAATTTTCCAAATTGATTTACCGTTCGGAGAGATCTGCCACAATGTTCTATGGGGTCCACCAAAAGTTATTAACCAAAGGACTTTGTCGGGCCGGCAAAATATTTGACTGTCCACATAATAACCATATTGTATGGTTGTATTGACAGAACTTTTACCGACGCGGCCAAATATTTTCCTCGACGTGGTCCTTTTTTGGAATCGTAAAGTTGGAATCGTTTTGGATTCGTGATCGTAAATTTCATCGAAAAAAAAAAAAAAGAGAAATGAATCATTTGAAGCGACCACAACTGTCCCGAAAATCTACAAGCAGAAAAGTACTTGGTTGAATCGATAAAGTTTTTATTGGTTTAACCATGGAATATGGTTGTTATATGGAGAATATTTGTTCGATATGACAAAATTCCGTGGTCGATAGCTTTTGGTCGATTACATCGAGTATCGTAGCAGATCTTACATAGAGTTTTGATGGTAAACAACCTTTCTACGGATATCTAACGTAGACGTGGGATATTTGAAATTCGAACATCCGATCACTTTGATATACAGTAGACTTTCGTATAACGCAGTTAATACGTTACGCGCTATATGAAATCGCATTATAGGAAATCGTGCTGTTCGGAAATTTTTCTCACAAAACGCGCATAATATTTTATGTTATTCGACGCGTTGTTCAAAGAAATGCGTTATATGAAAACAGTCTCTCGTATAACGCGGTTAATACGTTACGCGCTATATAAAATCGCGTTATGGAAAATCGTGCTGTACAGGAATTTTCCTCGCATAACGCGCATAATGTGTTATGGTATTCGACGCGTTGTTAAAAAAAAAACGCATTATATGAAAACAGTAGTCCGGTATAATGCGGTTAATACATTACGGGCTATATGAATTCATGTTATAGGAAATCGTGCTTTACGGGAATTCTTCTCACATAACGCGCCTAATGTGTTACGTTGTTCGACGCGTTGTTCAGAGAAACGTGTTATATGAAAACAGTAGTCTGGTATAACGCGGTTAATACGTTACGGGCTATATGAAATCACGTATAGGAAATCGCGCTGTACAGGAATTCTTATCGCATAACACGCGTAATGTGTTATGTTATTGGGGGATACTAAGGTTTCCGTGGCGCCAAAATTTGACAGTTGGTTATGGTTGCGTATGATATGAACAAACATCATCTAAGAGGAAAAGTTGATATCTCAATTAGTTTGGGAGATATTAATTATTTTCTTTGATTTTGGATATTTTAATTTTTTTTAATATCTCGAATACTGTGCGAGATACAATAAAATTCCACATAACCTTTTTGATAAAAAATGTGATTCCCTAGAAGAAAGTTAATATACATTTTCATCGTATCTTGAATAGTTTTTTAGATATAATGGATTTAGTTAAAAATATCTATTGACACAACGATTATGTCAATTTTTTCAAAGAAATATGTAAGATACGAGTGAACAACGTACAACCTTTTTTGTAGGGAATTCAATTTTCTACAATACTGCTTATATGTATTTTGTTGTATCTGTCGTAGTTTTAGAGATATGCGAGTCGAATTTCGAAGGGATGTATGGTGAAAATTTAGCAATCTGGGGCGCTTCGCCCCCCAGGAAAGAAGTGATGTCGTTTTCATCATAAAAAAATCTACAATAAAAATATCTAAATAGAAAAAATTTAGTAAATTTCGTTAGAACTATTTGTCAAAGTTTGGACCGCCGATTCTTTCGTTTACACGCTCCAATAGTCCCGTATAACGCGGTTAATACGTTACGCACTATATGAAATCGCGTTATAGGAAATCCCGCATTACGGAAATTTTTCTCGCATAACGTGTTATGTTATTCGACGCGTTGTTCAAAGAACCGCATTATATGAAAATAGTAGCCTTATATGAAAATAATAGCCCTATAACGCGGTTAATACGTTAAGCACTATATGAATTGCAAAATTTCTATGAACATTTACATACATTTGTACACCCTGCATAACTGAAGTTTTACATAAAAAATAACCTAAAATAGAAAAATTGCAAATCCGAAAATGTATAAATACACGTACAGTTGTATATTTACTGAATTAGTGCATTTTTACTTTAATTAAATATAACACTACATTGTAATTTTTCTCGTCGCATGTAAGACCTTTATCATGTACGTGAATCAACAGGTTACCTAGTCAATTTATACATTTTGCATGTCATATTACACTTCATGTTTACATATCAAATGTACGCCTACAACACATTCTTTGTAGAAATTTAGATGCTAAATGTGATATAACCCAGACAATGTAATTTTACTGTTATTAATTGTGGCCTCAAAATACCCAATGATCAGGTATGTAAATTTACATGGGAATTTTTTTTACCGTAGCTAGCCTGTCGCCATATTGCGCCGCGCAATTGTTTCGCAAAATCCGAGGGAAAGAGAGAGGAAAAGAGCGTCCCAAGTTTTTGTCTCTCAACGTGGTTGCCCTTATATATAGGATAGGCGTCGAGATCCACGTATCCACGATATATATATATATATAACCACATACAACGATATACCGCGTGACCAGAGTCGCTGAACCTACATTAAAAAAAATTCTCACGTAAATTTACCCCCTAAATCATTGGATTATTTTCATGCGACAATTAATAACGCAATATTACATCATCTGGGTAATATCGGTATCTAAATCTACCCAAAGAATGTACTGTAGGCGGACATTCGATACGTAAACATAAAGGGTAATATTACATACAAAGGCTAATTTTACATGTAAAATGTATAATTGGTCTACATTGTATGTATACATTTGGGGGGTAATCTTCGAATCGGTGATAAGTTCGATGGGCCTTATATGGTAACCCAGACGTAAACCTATTAAAACATATTCTTCATGAATACGTAACCATAATTGTAAGACACTTTCCTGGGTAGCTACTTACTTCTTTCGCTTCAATTCGATAGCACTAGACTGAGGGAAGTAAGCTCCGGAGATTGGCTGAACCTTCACCGGCCAAACGCCAGCGACGACTAATGATGCGCTACGCCGCGCCATCTATGCTGGACACGTTTCGACGCGTTTGGCATTGTTCTCAAACGAGAAGACGCGGTAGGATCCCGTGATTGAATTTAGACGATTTGATTGGTTAACACTAGGTTTACGGGACCCGTCAATTTGACGGAATTCAAACTTCAAAAAGAAATACCGAAAAAACCATAGCATTAATTTTAACCATTTTTGTATCGTAAATTAATCATTTCATCCAAAGAATTTGTACACGCAATTATTTTTTCCTAAGCCTTCTAATTATTAAAATCTGTATGTAGTATACCTATCTCTACGAAACCCGTCAAATTGACGGACTAGCTAATTTCATAAACAATCCATATATATTTGCTTCGTTCCAGTGAGTGTAAGGCGAAGATGAGAGTAAAAGTTTGCATTGAAAGTGGAGAAATAGAAGGATCTTCGGATAGTGACGAGGAAAACTTCTTGAAAGGGTGTCGTAGCAAGAAAAGGATGCGCATTCTTTCTAGTTCCGACTCCGAGGATGAGAGGACGAGCATTCCAATCATTTCCGTGATAATTTTTAAAAAAGGACTTTTTACTTATTAATAATTCATTTAAACGTAAAGCCTAGGGTTGTTTAACACAGACTTAATTTAAATAAATCGATTTTTTTAAGAAAATGCGTGTTTTCGTTTACCCGTCAATTTGACGGGTGCTCGTAGAAACAGGTATATAAAAAACGCCCGTAAACCTAGTGTTAACTTCACATTCTATGTATTTTTACGTACCAGCGGATATTTATCCGCATCAATATGTAAATTTACTAGCTAACCTGTATATTTACATCTATGGTAAAGGTCTTACATGCAACGAGAAAAATGATAACGTAACGGTACATTGAATTCAAGTAAAAATGCAGTAATGCAGGAAACATACAATCTCCCGGGCATTTATATTCTTATTTTTCCAATTTACGTCTTTTTATGTAAAACTTCAGGTATGCACGGGGTAAAAGTGTATGTAAATTTCCATCGACTTTTTTCAGGGTAAGCAAGAAGCAGAATTGAACTTGAGTAAACCATGTTATGGAGATCATTTCTTTTCTACGTATTGCCAAAAAATGTCTGGGCGAATACTTCAAACAATGACTAGGAGAATGATAATCTATGGTCACTTTCCTGCAACGACATTCAAAATTGGAGCTTATTCCGAGAAGCGTATCAACACTTTACCGACCGGAAGTCTGTTAATTGATTTTACGAAACACGTGATAGGCATTTACTTCCAAATTCGCCGATCGATAAGATGTAAGGTGAAGTGAAACACGACGAGAAACGTGATCGACGCCGATAAAGATTTTTCTAAATGCCTACGTTGCCGACGTTCGTTTTTATATTGATAGCTGGGTCGACTTATATTGAATATTGTACTAAATGGCATACTCCACCTGTCGTTACCGTACAATAAATATCAAGAAATCGAAGTAAAACTCCAGAAATCCTCTGGATTCGTGCTTTCTGGGGCCCTAATTGACTGCAGAGGGACCCCCTGCGCCATCTGTGATTTCCAGGTCAATTAAATTTTCACTCCGAGACCTCGTATTCCCATCGTTTTAGCATAGAAGCACATACAACACTTATTTTGCCTTTATCCCGTTCAAATGCGAGTTTATCGATTACCAGAGTGTTCTAAATTGTCGTAAAATTGTCCTGACCCTTTCGTTTCTCATATCAGAGTCTTCGATAATTGTATATTGATCAAAATATGGGAGCTCGACGCCATTCTGTTTCTGGTCTGGACTGAGTTAAACATTTTTTTTGAAAAATCCAAATTTTGAATGTGTCAGGACAATTCTTAGCTGATCAAGAGTGATGTGTCAAAGTTTCGGACAGTTTGGTCTAATACCCGTAAAAAAAAGTGTTGTATTCGAATCGACTGATTTGAAGGATGTTTCACTTCACCTTAAGCCCGGTTTTCCCGAGCTTGTTCGACTCGTTATCGTTACGCTTTCCGAACATAACCGCCAGAAAATAAAATGAATTCACTTGGAAGAGCGAAAGACTTTGAAGGGACCGTTAACCCTTTTGTTACCTTGGACGAGATATCTCGCGGCCCGATACTGGCCGATCAACGTTTTTGACGAGATATCTCGCGATCCGGTAGTAGCGGATTAACGCTTTTGACGATAATCTAGCTTCCTAGCACTAATATTTTGACATTCTAGACAAATTAATTTGTGTTCTGCCTTTGAGTTTTTATGTCGCTTATGGTATGTCTACTACCGGATCGCAAGTATGTGTACTCGAGTATTCGTTATTCGGATCGTTTTCGTCTCCAACTCGCCATTGACTCGACTCGTCGCGCCGAATGTACGTGTTTTTAGAGCAAAAATTTAGTTGCAGCTAAACGTCACAGATGGCGACGTTGGTCCTAAACAATCGTTAGAATAACGAATTCCCGGGATTTCGACAGTTTTACGTCGATCTCTTCGTCATTACTTTACCGCAATGACATATAGAACGCTTCGGTTCGTATAATTCTCAACGTAGACTGTAAAAGACTTGAACATAAACATAAATGTCGGGAACGGGACGCGTCAGCTTATGTTCCCGCTTGAGTATTCCAAATGACGTTACCTCCAAAAAGGATATATTTGAATTTTAATTTATCGACCTGGATTGTATTTCCCAGCGCCTTTCGTATCATCTTAACCAGCCGTCATTCTCGTCGATTTCCAAACTCAACGTCTGCCGATAAATCTCCCTCGCAAGAAGCATTGGTGAATTTTTCGGCAGCGCTGGTCGGTCGTGGGTCTCACCTGCGGTGGGGTACTGCCAGAGCGTGGGCGGCCAGGCGGCGGCGGCCGCGGCGGCCGTCGTGGCCCCGATGTTGCCGATGCCGCCAAGGGTGGAATTCAGCGTGGAGTTGAGGGCGGCGTTGAGCGAGGGTGCCAGCGCGTTCGAGGGAATGGCGAGGTGGGCCGGCCGGTCCTCCCCACCCGAGCCGCAGTGCACCAGCGTGGTCCCGCCCACTGTCATAGCCGTGGCGGACCCTGAACAAGCCCACCCTCATCGTCAGACCCATCGACCAGGGGGCGCGCCCACGCGAGCCCGTTGCCTCTCCTCTCCTCTCTCTCCGGCCGGCCGCGCGGGAGGTCGCCCCCTCCTCCGCCTCGCGTCGGAAGCGCTCGGGTCGCGTCGGCAGCGCTCGGGCCGCTTCGGCAGCGCTCGGGCCGCTTCGGACGCGATCGGGGTCGGGTAGGTAAAATACTCTAGGTAATTTACGTAGCTTCTCCCAGCAAATTCCTAGGTATTTTCACTTTACACATTTCATACGTGACGTAATTTCCTGAACATGGGACTTTACGTTTCGGCAGTTGCTATTCCAGATGCGCTTGAAATTCAAAATTCTTCATGGAACACAGAGTTAGGTAAGTATATACGTCATGTAATTTACGTGCTTTTCTCCGCGTGTGTTATAACGTATAATACGTCTCTAGATTTCTACGCAAGAGCAATGTACGTTACGTTCCTTTATTTCTAAATGTAAAATAATAAATTGAGGGAAAGATTTGATATTAAACAGGGCCATGTGAAAAGAAATTAAAACACAAGCGCCGGATTAATCATTCCTCAACAATTTTTACGTACTTACATGTGCGCTAAAAGACGTTAACCTCGCGAAAACATATATCATGCATCTGTGGAATCCGCCATATTGAAAACGGAAAATTGTAAACCATTTTGAATACAAGCGCCAAATTAATTCATTATTCCTTAAAATATTCCTGCGTTTACATACGCGCTAAAAGACGTTTACGACCTAGCAGGAGCTGTATATCGTTAATCCGCGGCATTCTTCGTATTTACTGGTCTTCGACGATGTTCTCCTGTAAACTGCTTTGTCTACGTAATACCTATACATCAAATACTTGGAAAAATGAGGAATTATCCAACCCTGATGGAACGTATGGAAAACTGGAATGCTGAAATCTAGATATTTTTAACGGCTCGCTTCTCCTTGCCATTATTTGTTATTCCTTTTTTGCCTTCGCTAAAATTTTTATTCGCAGGTGATGCGAGCTTTGATCTCTTTGAAAAAGTGAGATTACGGTCCCGCCATATTTGTCGAGAAATTTTACTTGGATTTTAGATCGGGAAAAAACCTCGAAGGACGCTCCCCTGTCCATCCCTGGACGCGACGCCCGACGCCGCCTCTCGTTGACGTCCGCGCCATAGACATAGAAATATAAAATATAGCCATCGGACATAACATAAAGTACAATCTTAGACAAGGGGAGTGAAGCCAAATTGCGGGGGGATTTGATGCCTGACTCGGATTGGTTAAATCTCTACAGATACTCAGTACCGGTAATTATAATTTGTAAATACGGCAAACAATTTTAATACCCGTGAAATGTAATTTTCGCGTTATTACTTCCAAACTTCTTTTTTTTTCCAATCTTGAAAATCCTACCTGTTCTTACGGGACGGTACAATACAGCGCACCATTTTTCTTAACATGATAGCATAGAATAATTTCTAAATATTTCTTTGTAATCTTTGCTAAATATCTCAATTTTTTAAGATTTCTTGTAGATTTTATTCGAAGATATATATGAAATATTTGTTGACAATCTCAATGACATATTTAGTTTCAATAATTTATAAACATAGAGAAATTATATTTTTTATCTTATTAACATAATAAAAATACATTTCTTTTATTTCACGACTATTATCGGACACTTCATTTGGTATCAAAAAACACGAGAGATTTTTGTAATATTTTCCTTCCGCTATTTCATTATGGGAGCAAAACGTGTGATTTTGATTTTAAATATTTTTAAAACGTTTATAATGTATTATTGATAATATTTAAGAACTACTTGTACTAAAATGAAACGAAATGTTTTGTGCATCTGGTAGAAAAATATTATGAAAACACATGGAGCTAATATTATATAAATATTATAGAGATAATATTCTAAAGTAAACAGTTCGCAAATATTTCAAACGTCTGCTAAATATTTACAAAATCTACGATATTCGTTAAATATATAGAAAATATAGGATAAATATTTCCTGCTACTAGGGTACATTTATAAAAACTATTTCTGTCTAGCCTCACAAAAATACTTAACTACTTCCCACGTTTGTCCATAACCTCCTTCGAATGCATACCTCCGTGATTACGCTTGCGCGGAACATTAGCCAATCAAAGTTTGGCACCAAATACCTCGTCACCCTCCCCTCGGTAGCTTCCCCCCCGCAGCATCACCCTCTGTCTCTGTATTCCTGCGTCTATGGTCCGCGCCCGCCTTGCGTATCCGCGCGGAACGGCGCCCGAGTAGGTTTCCTCCACCCGCGATAAAACGGAGCTACCTGTCTCTCCTCTCCACGCGGCCGGCCCGCTCGCTCTCTCCTCTCCGCGCGGCGGGCCCCAGGGGTTCGACACTCCTTATGGGAGAGGTGTAACGCTGAAGTTAGTTCACCTACTCCAAGCAAAGACTGCGCTGGTGTCGTGACTTTTCAGT